ATTATATGATGCTACGCTCCAGTGCATGGTTTTAACAGGGCATACCTCTAGGCAGAAATTAATTTTGTGGCGGTCTCAGAGCGCTGAAGTAAATTTTGAGGGGGTGTTGTAATTTTAAACTTGTAATTTTACTACCTGGCCACATGTTTGATCAGTAACAAAACAATTTGGGGAGGGGTCAGGTTCACACCCGGTATTTTACTATGAGGTAATCCTGTTCACCTGAACACTGCTCACTACCCGGCACTGTCAGTAAGCAGTGGTCAGGTGATCTAGATCAGACATGGGTTTGGGGCAGCTATTCTGACTCAAACAGAAGTGATTAAAGGCAGTATTCTTCTGTTTTTGTATCCTGGTTATAGGGTTCCAGTAGATTATTTGAAAGTGTGTCCACCATAACATGTCCTTGGTCACACAATATGAGAAGGATTCTGTTTCAAAAATGAATGTTCTTCAACATATTCAACAGTTTGCATCATAAATATTATTATATCTTATTATATAGGTTCTTTTGAAAGTGAAATGATGATAGTAAATGCAATGAAAAGGTTACTTTTTTAATGAAACCCCTTATGAGGACAGATGTAAGGGTCGCTTCACTCACTGCTTAACATCATGTAAACTGTATTGCATGATAGAGAATGAGAGACAATTATTCCTGCCTAAAGTTGTACCACAATCAGTTCCTGAAAAACCATTCAAAAGAGTCTGGGCTGATGCATGATGGGGTTTTGCTACTTAAAATATTCTCTTCCTTGCCTTTCTTGTGAATTTCCAGCATAAGAAAACTGAAGGACAGACTGACCTGAAAAATGAAATGGCTCTTTTTGAAGTTCCAGATGGGTGCTATGTCTGTCTGCAGTTTCTTTGATTAAAGACCCCATTAAGAACCCCAGTGAAGTACACACAGTATACTGAATCAGACTTTGATATCAAAGAATATAATGAATCTAGTTTAGTATTACTGTTTGGCCTACATCATGAAACTTTTGTTCAAATCTGGAATAGACATGGCAATGTTTTGACAATGGTGCAATCGTACGAAAAGCAAACGAAAGCGCATGTTGCAATTTTATTGTGTGCTACAGCCTTGAGTCTTCATAGTGGTACAATGAATAAACAGTACTGTATGAAATAGTACTGCTTCATGCTCTTCATGGATAAAGGTAATACCGCTGCTAAAATAAAAATTCACCAGTTCAGTATAAATTGTGTGTGTGCGTGTGTGTGGATGGGTGTACAGTATGTGTATATATATATTTTTTAAATGTATACTGTGTTAGCAAATTGCTAGATTTTCTCATTATCGCCAATTGTTTTACCCCATAGCGAAACAATGTGGCCATATTTCAAAATCAGCAGTAAATTAGAAATGTTGTAATTTGATACTGACCCTTTCGAAGTACATTTAGAACATTATGACAATGCTCCAAGGATACCTGATGTCATTAAGCTCGTAGTGCCATTGGCACTACTGTATGAGATGTTTTATAATCTGTGAGAGTCACCTAATGACATTTGGGTGCATGAGTTGCATTTGTCTTGAATGTTGTTATAGTTTTGGGTTAAAACTTCTAGAGTTGAAGCAATTTAATTTAGCAAAATATTTTTGATTCTAAGGAGACACAATGTCTTTTGTCTGAAGTAAAGACAATTTTAAGAATTGTTTTCTCCAGATTCTTCACAAAATCTTTAAAGCCAATTCCTTTGTCAGCTGTCACCAATAATAATTTAAACTGACTGTGTTAGATGTAAAACCCTGCAGTTCGCTGTTAAAAGAAAAAAATGTTTGATTTTACGAAGCTGATATTTCACAACTGTAATATCTGTCTGGACCACAAACATACCATTATAGGTTCAGAGGTTTAACTTGAAACTGATGTCAAACAAGGATAAAAATTCCAACATATGTTCTGATGTGTCATTTTGTACAAGGCAGCCAATTTCAGGTGCCCATTCAGTCTGTTTTTTGCTGTAACAAGCTCTTAAATCTATTGTCCAAGCAGCCACCAGTACTGCCTGAGCCAATGTAATTCAGTTTTTGAAAATAATGACTCTATTTAACTGGTGACTTTCTCCTGGCATTCTGATTTGATCATTTGCTATAGGCAAAGGCTGTTTAAAAGATGCCAGAATTATTTCAAAATGGACCAAACCGTAAGATCCAAAAGTGATAATTGGCCATTGTTCCAAAGAATTTACTATTTTAGATACGTATCGCTCTCTTAGCAAGTCTCATTATACCCCGTATAAGGTTCTATTTTCTTCTTTTATTTATTAGGTTTATATAAGTCTGTGTACATCAATGCACTTTTTAGTACAATACAGGATGAATACAAAATCCAATCCATACAAAATTTGTAATATAGTCGTTTAAAAATTAATCATATTCACAGAACACTGGATGTAATAAGTTTGCCTCTTTTGAAGTAATTCAAGCTAAAAGTAGATATTCTATCAATTCTCATTGCAAAATTTGATTTTGAATAATTAAGATAACTATTCATTATTCAACTATTCAAAACAATGTTGGATTTTTCATGCTAACATGTTTGATAATACTGGATATACTTTTTGACTTTTTTTCTGTCCACGCTTTGTTTGGGTATTACTTGTAGTCCAAGGTCGGGTGGAGTTAGTTCAGGTTTATTATGGTTCTTTGCATGTTACACGTTGGAGATACATTGAATGAAACATTTTATATACACTGATCAGCCATAACATTAAAACCACTTGCCACTTATGTAGCCCTCGCTCCCTCCCCCCCCCCACCCCATCCCGCCAAAACAGTTCCGACCTCTCAAGTCATGGACTCTACAAGACCACTTGCAGGTGCCCTGTGGTATCTGGCACCAAGATGATAGCAGCAGATCCTTTAAGTCCTCTAAGTTGCGAGGTGAGAGCTCCATTGGTCGAACTTGTCTGTCCAGCACATCCCACAGATGCTCAATCGGATTGAGCTCTGGGATATGTGGAGGCCAAGTCAACACCTTTAACTCTTTTTCCATATTCCACAAAGCAATCCTGAACAATGCAGGCACATTATCCTTCTAAAAGAGGCCACTACCATTGGGAAATAACATGAAGGGGTGTACTTGGTCTGCAACAATGTTTAGGTAGGTAGTACATGTCAAAGCACCCATCCACATGAATGCCAGGACCCAAGGTTTCCCAACAGAACATTGCCCATAAATATATTCTTTTTTTACTACATAAAAGAATTAAAGACAGACAGAAATGTGGCTCTGCAGTGGAATATTTCAGTGCTTTATTTTATTCATTTATTTGTTTGCCCATCCTTTCTGTTTGTTATTTAGTGATGTTAGTCCAAATGCAATTATTAGCCAATTTGTTAGGAGGTGTTAACAGTACATTAGCACATAAAACACAATTTTAATGTCAGACTTTAGGATTTTCTGCTTCTAGTAACACTTCCATAATACATTTGTTAAGGATATATTAATGCAGCCTTTTGCGTTATTATATTATATTAGTACTTTTTCTGTTTGAGTTATATATATATATTTTTGGTCACTTTTTACAATTAGCCAACTACGGTAGGGCCAGCTCTTGCCATTTACTACATTGCTCCTGCTGTTAACTACTGTAAGCTTCTGTCCTTATCTACGCTCCTGCTGGTAACTACTCACCTGTCCTTAACTATGCGTCTGCTGTTAACTATGCTTCTGTACTTAGCTATGCTCTTGCCATTAACTACACTTATGTCCTTATCTATGCTCCTATTGTTAACTGCACACCTGTCATTAACTACGATCCTGCCGTTAACTATGCGCCTGAAAGCACAGCAGTCCTACAGCACACTGCTTAGACTGACTGGAAGCCGCACACTTACAAACACTATGAGATGGGTTCTCTTTGTATCGTGGTTTTATTTTGCTTTTCGAAGGTCTGGCAGGCAAGGTAGTCCAGCCAATGTATTTTCCGCTGTGCACCTTTGTGTTTTCATTGTTGACTGGTTTTCTTGTTATACTTGTATGATTTGGTTTTGTTGCCCATGGCCTCTGTTAAATTTTGGATGATGTTCACATGCTGGCCCAGGACGTGCCGCTGGCCAGTGGGTTCATGCTGCTCAAGGTGGGGCTCCGGCTTGCATTTAGAGCAGCACTCTGCCAGAGAAACTCTTTGTTTGCCCCTCTTTGCCTTTCTTAGCCCTTCTTCTCTACTTCAGCCCACCGGTCCCAAACACTTGGTGAAAAGGTTAGTGCAACATGTGACCTTTCAACCCTTCCAAAGTCTATGCCCTGGCAGCCACACTCTGGGAATTGTCTGTTAATAGTCCAATTAGATAATTGCCATCTTTCGCTTCTTTTCCTCTCCGTTTCCCATAAAGGAATGAATGAGGAGAGGAGAGTGAAGAGGGCTTCTGGCCTGCAAGGTGACAAGAAGAGCTGAAGCATGTTTCTTGCACAAGGCTGTTTCCTTGAATTGAAGCATTGTGGCCTAATCAATGGTCTTATTGGATTACTGGCCACTGCTGTTCCTGCAGATATTGTTGAGCTGACAATGAAATAACTAGGAGTGGGGTGGGTGGGTAGCAGGGTGGAAAGGAGGTGGTATTTCATGGGTGTGTGGGGAGTTAAGACACTTTTTGTCCCTTTTTTGTATTATGTGGATCTTTGCTAAAGATTATATGCACAGGCTGCTTCCCTTGTGCATATACATGAAAAGAAGGACTTGCTGTTAATGACTGGTTCCTCAAGGCTTCTCAGACTGCAGCCTTTCTTGCAGCTACACATGGGACAAACAGAGCAGCCCGACACAGCCCATGTGTGACCAAAGCTGCTTTGTGAATTGGCATCTTTTCCATCTTACATTTCCAGTGAATGGGATTCAGTTTTTTTTTTTTTTTAACTTTTTTCATTGTCCACTCTCCCTCTCCACCTCTCTCACTTGCTCTCTCCTTCTCGCTCTCTCTCCTTCTTTCTATCCTGCTCTTCCCAGATATCCCCACACCGGAGTGTGCTTGGGCATGGGGGGCCGTTGATTGGTGAAAGGTACTGTAGAGCAGACCGAGCCCTGTGAGCACGGCTGGGAGAACGACTCCAGCTGAAAAGTGGAAAATGGCTGGTCGGGCAGCTGGCATGGCAGACTGAAACACCCTGGAACTTTTCTGGAACTCTCACTTGGTGCTTTGTGCTGCAGGAGGCTTTCGTGAACCAAGACCAATCATTTCACTTGATCCTCTGGCTGAATGCTGCCTGACTGAGGGGACGGAATTCTCAAACCCCTCCATTAAAACCTGATATATTACCCAAACAATTTAGTGAATTCATGAGGTTACGTAAATGTGGAGGCTGCAAAATTACCGTAATCAATTGAAACAGCAAGTGTGCGTCTGCCTGTGAGTCTGATTATTTGGAGATCATCTATCAAGTAGATGTGTGTGTAATAAGCCAAGCGCATTAAATCACTGTCGAGTTGCAGTGGTAAGTCCATGATCATTGGGCAAGTGAGTCTGGACAACAATAATTGCGAATCTACACAGATGAGGAACACATCTTGCCTGACATTAGATAGCTGACTCTGTGTCTAAAAGGTTCTGTTCTAAAGGAACAGCTGCATCATCGAGGCGACACAGCAAGCGATATTCTCAACAATCAGTGTTTTTTCACCCAGGAAAAAAAAAATTGTTTTGAGAGGTAAGTGAGTATGGAGGTCAGATACAATCAAGAGAACGAGTCAGGGATGGTGCTGAAGAATGGACTTAAGGATGGGAAAGAGGGAAAGGATTCCCAGGGAAACATTTCAAAATCGTTTCTGAAGGAGCAGCAGGAGACTTTTCCAGCTTCTGGGACAGCAGAAAACTGTGAGAAAAACCGAGGGAACTCGGCAGATCCGGATTACTGCAGGCGAATCCTTGTGAGAGGTGAGACGTTTGATAGCTTTGTTTCAGTGCTGTTCTGCTGATCATAGAGTGTTTTATTATAAATGCTGCGGAAGCTTCCTCCTTCTAAAACAGGACTCACACTATCCACATGTAGAATTATGTTAGTGTACCAAATGGTTTCTGACTTCATAAGGATGCCATAAGCACATAGGGATGCCTTGAATTGTTTGATTTAACTCCTGTGTCTTAATACGTATGTAATGTATGTGCATACGGTATAATGATGGGATGCTGGGCATTAATGTCACCTATCTGTGTGAGTATCTGTTATGTATGAACAAACTACAGGAAATATTTTGCACGTAAAAGAATCATTTTTTTAATATCCAACAAAATGTTTGCAAATATATTTTGAGTCATCATACAGGGAGAAAAAAAATGATGTGTTCCTTGTGGTGTGCCTGCGTGTTCTTTAACTTCAGTTTGCTTCCGGGGTGGCATTTCAGAAGTTAAACTATCTGTATCCAGCGATACATTATAATTGTCACGTCCCAGTTTTTGGCTGTTGAACTGTAAAATTATAGATAATTAACGAATTCATGATATGTTAAATAAAAACGGTTAAATTATACCTTAAAAATTAAAATAGAGAAAAAATCGTGATGATAGTATAAACTTAAATTTCCCTAACTACTGGTAAAATCTTTAGTGTTTAGTGTGAATGATCTTTTATTTGTATCTGTTGCAGTTACCGTACTGTATGATATCAAAACATAAACGGCTGATTCAAAAATAAATCACCCGGTCTTATTGTTGCATAAACTAATTTCACTTTTGCTCGTTAGAATTGAATTCCTGAAACAATAGATATGTGTACATAAGTGGATTTTATGCACGTTTATTGTATTATATATTTACTTCAAGTTAATTACATGCAGTATTTTCGTGCTGCGTCAGTTTTTAAGCAGCAATCATTATCCTATTACCCCGCATCACCTTAATAAATTTCACAGCTATAATATTTTAACAATAAATAAATAACTTGCCCTGACGAAAACATTATGAACTAGGCCTATTTATTAGGTGCAATAATGCACAATTAAAATTGAAAACAGCAAAACTTGTAAACCTGTAAAAATGAACGGAGCTGTGTTAAAAAACTAATGAGAAAATATTTTAGTGATATGACACTGCTACCAAATAAATACATATTCTTAACAGTTACTTCCCGTAAAGGAAAGTTAATAATCAAGAATAAATTAAGAACGACTTGCTAATTGTTCAATCGATAATGTGGTATTCACGATGAGTGCCATTCACGAACGTGGGCTTTTAAGCCACACCGGGAACATATTTAGAGCTCTAGGCCTATTGTTGCAATTCAGAAGAAACTTAGCACTTTTTGCGACATTTGTGGTAAAATACAATAAATTACTGCGCGCTTTTTGCTTGTCTATAACTTTCTGTGAAGCAGCGTAATTTGGATTGGGGCCCAAATGAAACATTAAGTTACATATTTTAACATAACATATAAGTAATGCATTATTCTTTTTTATATTTAATATTTAATGTCCGGTTGTTTTATTGATTATACTGAAATTTGCATAATTATTTAGTGAAGGATGTCTCTTTCTAAATGTTAAGCACTGAAATTACACCTGATGTAAGTTATAGGTAGCACATGCTCGTTTATGAGTATTTGTATTGTGTTCTGAAATATGTCTCCTAAAATTATTAATATCAGCACTTTGTCCGCCCTTTTTCTCTGAGGCGTTGTTCTTAAGCTATACCATGTCAACCATAAATATACAGTTGTATTCACGCACATCAAAATAACGCAGTTTAACATGCATGCTTTAGATGCCTATATACTGTACGTACTTATTTGGTAAAATATGTCATGGACTCAGTTGTTGCGTAGTATCTAAATTTTATGTGGAATATAATAAGAAATAGCCGTTCGTCGAGATTTCAGTTATTCAGACAACAGAAGGTGAACAAACAGTACAATAATTAGGCCTACATCTAGAATGTAGCTGGCGTCTTCGAGAATTACAGGGTGAGGATGAAGTAAGGAAATGATAATTTATTGTATTTCAGATGCCAAAGGGTCCATCAGAGAAATTATTCTGCCAAAGGGCTTGGATTTGGACCGACCAAAGCGCACCAGGACCTCTTTCACTGCCGAGCAGCTGTACAGGCTGGAGATGGAGTTCCAGAGATGCCAGTATGTGGTGGGAAGGGAGCGCACGGAACTGGCCCGCCAGCTCAATCTGTCAGAAACTCAGGTAACTGGGAAAAGCGACATTCAATAAAAACCGTGCTTGGAAAGGGTCCTCTTTTATTGCTCATATTTAAAAACGACAGTAGGTCTATATCTGAGCAAGACACAGTAGAAAGTAGATGTCGTCAGGCGATTTGATATGTCATACTGTAGGTTGTCATACTGTAGGTTTGTTTTCCACATGCGATTCACTAGGTTTCGTCAGGTGATTTTTTCCCAAACGATTAATTTAAAAATAAATATGAACTTTTTTAAAACGTCCGTCAGGGCTGTTGATGTTATATTAAAAAGACATAACATTAATTTCTGTAGCTTCCGAAATGCGTCGTGCCCTACTGCAGTGAATTGACTAGAAAATGACAACATAGGCTACTATAAATTAAGCATTTCACAATCTGTACAGTTTTCCCTAAAATCAGTTTTCTCTTCCATAGCTAAATATAGCAAATATATATCTGAATCTACCTGTCGGGTTAAATAAAAGGAAGTGCACATTTGTGATGATCTGCATGTGCACCTTACATGTCCTGGGTGTTTAAAAAACATACAAAGTTTAGCCCGCGGTCAACGTTTCAATTTCGGCGAAACGCAACCAGCTTGTGTATGGCCGATACAACTGATTTCATTGTTTATTTGTATGTCTTTGTATATTTGTGTAATTATTTATATAATAATTCCTTTACGTTTAGGCCAAGATATTTCATGTTTGCATAATCCATCGCTTTTCCATTCTGAGACAGTTTGTATTAGAATGGTTTTCGCTTCTATATTTATAACGATTAAAATATATAAGAACTGTCATAACTAGAAGACCTTCATTTTCATTAGACGTAATTATACAGTAAAACAGGTTGTTATTTTGGCCTGATGGACTTCTTGTGACCACCCCAGAAATTTTTTGTGTTTGTCATCTCATCTCATTTTGTCGCTGAAGCGAACATTAGGCCTATTGAACAGAAATTTCTCAAATTATGCAATGCAGCGCATCTTGACAAAGTCAGTGGATTTGTCACTATCGGTTATGAAATGTTTCCGAAGTGTTCTAACGGTTTCAGAAAAAAATGTGTGTGTGTGTGTGTGTGTGTGTGTGTGTGTATATATATATATATATATATATATATATATATATATATATATATATATATATATATATATATNTATATATATATATATATATATATATATATATATATATATATATATATCATACACAGTTCTTCAGGATTATATCTACATGTAATTGTATCAATCGCTCTTACATACAGTATGGAGATGTGCTGAGCTGAACACGCATCCAGTTCCCATGGCATAATTAGTAGCCAATACGTATGGAAAATGCTAGAAATGACTATACTTTAATTTTTAAGAATAATTTTCAAGAGCCTTATTCAATCTTTAATTTAGAATTTAGAATTACGCAAAAATATTTGTGACAGGTTGACTGACGTTGGTCTTTGCATGGAGTTATTATATAAATGTTATTAATGAAAACATTATTTTTAGAATAGCAAAATACAATTTATTGCCCAGTTATAAATAAACATAATGCGTGAAAATGTGTGAAATCCTTGCACCTGCCTATCATAGTTTCTTTTCACATTAACGCTTAATTATGACGTCCAGTGGCTGTCTATTGAGTTTCATTTATTTATTGTTCACGTCAGTTGCTTGTTTTTAATTTTTATTATTTTCATGTGAATAATTTTATTACAATATATACCACAATGCACGTAATGATGTTTGGAAGGGTGCTTTTTGATTACTTTCGCTATAATGATGTTCATGGTTTAGGCAATGTGTTACGGAGCAGTGAAGACACTTTGCAGATTTGCAGAACTAACCAATTTAATAAGAAAAAAATTATCTAGGAAGAACTCGGTAGAAGATGTTTTAAAGCATACTTATTGCTGCATGTATGAGCTGATGTTTAGGCAGATACTTATTTCAAATCATGTGGTGTAAAATAGTACTTGAGGATATTTGGGATAGAAATTGCAGTCCTTTGACAGCACAAAGGTCAAGCTGCTAATCAAGCCTACATCTCTTCCGGTTACATTGAATAGTGTCTCCGTTTTACACTTCTGAGCAAAACAAAGCCACCACAGTGATCTCAGGCTTTAGCATGAAGCACTGACAACTGCTCCCATACAATACATGAAATTTTCAATTCCAACATTCTCCTAAGCCTTTTTAATCTTTTCAGCACCATATATTCCTGTTTATCCAGCTAAATCACCCACATGCTTTATCCCATAATAGGGTGGTATTTGCATTTCGTTTTGTATGACTGCACTGGCTTGTGTATACATTATTAGCAGTGGTTATTTGACATTCTCACTTTTGTTTTTGCAAAAACATTTTTCATGACTCCAGCATTCGCTGTAGAGTTTTCTGTTTGGTGGTTTCATTGCACATGCTGAAACCTGATGTGTGTCAGTGTTATTTATAGGAAACTGAGACACAGAGCTGTGTGTCAGTACTGACACATCATTCCAATGTGTATATTTCCTCTTGTCATTTGTTTTTATTGGTCTGGCCTTGAAGGTAAAGGTTTGGTTCCAGAACCGGCGGACAAAACAGAAGAAGGACCAAGGCAAGGATTCTGAGCTCCGCTCAGTGGTGTCAGAGACGGCGGCCACTTGCAGCGTGCTCAGGCTGCTCGAGCAGGGCCGCTTGCTGACTCCCCCTGGTCTGCCAGGTCTCCTGCCCCACTGCGGCAGTGGTGCCACCCTGGGCTCTGCCCTGCGCGGCCCATCCATGGCCATCGCCAATGGCGGCAGCAGTAGTAGCAGCAGCTCAGGGACGGCAGGGAGCCCTCCGCTGCCCACTGTCACCAGCTCAGGGCCAGCCACTGGCATGCAGAGCTCCCCGCCTGCCCACGGTCTCTTCAGCTTCTCCATGCCATCTCTACTGAGCACCGTGGCCACCCGGATCTCCTCCAACCCACTGTCGATGGCTGGCTCCCTGGCAGGGAACCTGCAGGAACTCTCCGCTCGTTACTTGAGCTCATCCGCCTTCGAACCTTACTCCCGAAACAACAGCAAGGAATCCATGGACAAGAAAGTGCTGGAATGATTTTTAAAAAGCTGTGTCTATTTCTGTCACCATGTTTGTTAACTTTGCTTTCTTTTTATGTTGGTGTGCTGGTTCTTATTGGTTGTTGTTCATATGCCACACACAGTTTCCTCAGAGAACACATACCAACATTAACTTGTTTATTCTCAACAAAACAGAGAGATTTTCAAAGCTTTTTGCACTAAATAAAACCTTTAACTGCATGTAATGAATACAAATGCTTCATGGAGCAATTGACCAAGAGATTACAAAAATATGAAAAAGATCATTTAAATTATATTTTCAGTTAGTTGTGGTTTTTCTAAGTAGATATTTTTGTTATAATTTTAAAGATTTAAAATGGTGGATTTTATCACAGCAAAGAAGCTTAGAAAATGAACCCAATTCAGCTTATTTACTCAACAAAATCAAGACTTGGGAGAAATGCACAGTCACAGAAACCTTTGAGCAACTCGGTTTTGTGTATACTTGTGCTTGTGTAGTTTATCTTTTTCTAAACTAACACCGTACACATATGTAGAGGTAGCATGGAAGCTCCTAAAAGCAGGAAATGCTCTCAGTCCCCCACATTCCTCAGAATCCAAGAGAAAATGCAGATCTAGCAACTTGCATTTTCCTCTTAATGTTTGCTTTTTCAAAATAGTAAACTAAATGATGGTCATTCGTTGACCAGTTATTGACCAAAACAAACAGAATAAGAATGTTACATGATGATTAAGCTGTTGTATGTATGTTGTTTTCATAATGGTTTTGTGAGGGTTTTCCAAACTTTATTTAAACATGGTCTAAATGTGTAACTTTTATGTCTTAAACATGCAGTATTTGACTTTTTATCTGTAATTAAAGTATTAGAATTGTTGTCCTGATTGCCATGTGTAAATGACATTTGAAAGTGAGTTTCGGTCCCTTTCAGGACTCAAAAAGTTACAAGAAGGGATAAGAAGAGGTGCATGGACCGTGGTTGTCTTAGAGCTTTTGAACTTTTGCAAGCTGCTCATGGCCTTGAATATATTAATGTTATTTGGTGCAAAATGAGTTTTTGAGAGCATAACTGTAACAGATGCAAGGGTTTGCAATTTTTAAAAGATATGACTCTTCTGAGATGTGAAGATTTTAAAAACCATACCATCAGCTTCAGGTCAGGAAGATTAAGAACAAGAGTTGCTTAGTAAAATTATTGTAGTATAACGTAAAGGAAAATGAGAATTGTACCTAAAATTGTTATTTTATTGTAAATTATTCATGTCTGTAATTAATAGATGATTAGTATATTTGAAAAACAGTGAAAGGATGGCTGTGAAGGTGTGTCAAACATCAGAGAAGGCTTTTGGTGCTGTTGTTGTCAAATATGTTGAACTTTGTGATCATGTGGTATGAGTGTGAATATATATTATATATATGACTAAAAACAGCCAGCCGTGTTTTTTGTTTAATTTTGCGCTGTCCCTGATGTCCACAGCTCTCTGTTGTACACTGAACACCTGTGCTGAGTCCTGGTTATAATTATGAGAAGTATATCCCCGCTATGCGTCACTCTGCTCTCATGAAGGTGCATGTGTACCAAGGCACAGGAATCCACGTGCCAACTCTGCCACTACTTGCAGGATCATTTCCTCAGTGTAATTAAAGAACAAAGGATTAAATGAATACAAACATGAAGGTGGATTCATTACAGTGATATTTAGAAACCCAAACAACATCTCATCTGGATATAATTTATGAGATTTGCATTTAGGACAGAAAAACAAGCTACCTGTGATTTAAGGTTTCGCTGAGCACATTGACACGTGGAAGGTGCATTTGCTCACAGCGTAGTGCTGTGAGCAAACGGTAATCTGATTAGCGTGGCGATCGAGGGTATGCAAGCTGTGAGGCATCAGGAACGCTGGGGAGCCCGAGTTTGAACTGAGGCAGTGTTGTGCAGACAGCAATGAGCTCAAGAGCATGAAGCACCAGGAGAATGATCTGCAGCAGAAGGCCTGAGGTCCTGCTGGCCACATCCTGAGACAGATGGTGATCCAACATTTAATCTGGTCACAGAGATGCCAAACAGTTTGTTTCAGTTTCTTTTATATAATCATGCCAAAAAGTTGATGAAGGCTTTAAATCAGTAACTTTAGCTGATTTTCTAAAAATTTGTATAAAATTATTACATACATCTCATGGAAAATTAATGCACGGTGCCATATTTTAACCAAGTTGCTGAGCAGTAAGTATTATGGAGGTACATTTGTGAAGTTTGTTAAAGGCCACTAAACATGGTTTTAAAAACCCAATGGAACTGGTTTAATAAAATCCTCAAACCTGGATTTAGAAATATCAGATTAACTGCAGCAAAAGTTTCATGGTTTAACAAAAAAAGATTAGTCATTACATGTGCAATAAAAGTTTTAAATGCATCTTAGAAAGACAACCATTTTCACAGTTATATCTATCTAAACATTAAATATAACAATATTAAATATAACTTGTAGTATGTATGTATGTAAATATACATTTTCATATTGTTTAGAGAATTACTATAGTTGTTAAAGAAATTTGAACTTTGTCTGAGTTGAAAAGAAGAGTTTTCTGTAAATACATGTATAATGAGGCTGTATATGTGTAGAATGTGAAAGAGATCAAAAGGTTTCTCTCTAAATCTCTTGACGTCTCATTCTGCCTTATACTAAACTAGAACATGAACTAGGTGTTTTATATATCCATGTGTAAGGTAAAAAAAACTTCAAACAGTTTACAAAAATTATTTCATTAAACTGTATACTGTGCAGACATAGCTGAAAGGTGGAAAGCTGTGAGAATCTGACATGAGTCTGAAAATGGATGCCAAAAACAGCCTTGTGAAGGATGGGCAATGCAACAGGCCAGAGCTTCGCTGACTCTTTTCAAGAACACTTAGGTTCCCGTTCAATTGTTATAATTTCTATGGCCCAAGAAAATCCCACTTTGTCCCATGAAAAGACAAGAATTCAGCCATTCAGAATGCAAGACATACTTACATGAGAAAGAAAATGTTTCTAAAAAAGCAGCCACTGTGGCTACAAAGCTGAGGAAATTACCAGACACTCCAATGCAATAATAATAATAATAATAATAATAATAATAATAATAATAATTTAATTTAAGGAGAATGTCACATCCACCATATGTATTCCTGGCCCCCAAGTTCACATCCAGGCTGCTCTAAGGACATTGTGACGTGGCCTTTTACTGATCAGATTCACTAAGAAAAGATACATGCCACTTTAACCTTTATTTAGCCCATGGATGACCTCAGATGAACTGCAGGGTATTATCAACACACACAGATTACAAGCGGTGGACAAACTTGTATTTTATACTTAAAATTTTTTAAAGCTTTAGAGATCGTGTGGATACAAAATTATCATAATGAAAGGTACTTAAAAGTGAGGTAATCACTGTACTGATGTATGCAGGGTTGCTGACTCTCAAGCATCTGGCATGACATTCATGCTTTCAGATTCTGATGCTCATGCAAAAAATCTTATGGCAAATCTATATTATTCCAGTATAGGCCTAAAATTAGCTACATCAAACACATTGGGGTAGGCTTGCAAACCCTGTAGACTATTTACAAGGTAATAAAATTGTTACATACATGTAAATGCATGTGCATGTGTGTGCAGACTTCTCTTGAATTGGAAATCTCACCCCAGTCAGGTGACCAAAGTTGGCTTAGAAAAGCTCTGCTGGTAATTATTAGGGTCATCAATTAACAAATCAAGTGAAATTTGAATCAGTTAATGGCCAAACTTCATACTTCGGAATTTTCGCTCTCTGGATTTTCAAAAAGTGATTATTTACACTATTATTTCATATTATTTACACCAATTATTAATATATTAACATTTATTTTGACTTGGTGCAATAACTGTATATGTATCATTCATCTGTACCATTATCCACATCACATGTGCGATATGTGTAGTTGTATGCACAAATTTATCATAATTTTCTTCTTATTTATTTCTATCTTTTTTGTTATAGTATGGTTTTGCTTTGCCTTTTCTATTGCTATTTGATTTTTAGGCTGTTGCAACAAGTACATTTCCCCCCGTGTGAGATCAATAAAATCTTGTCTTGGGTTATCTTATCTTATCATCTTAATTTGTTATTAATCAAAAGATATATATTACATTCTAACCAGAATCAAGCTTGACTTTTTTAGGAAACTCTGTTTTTTGTGGGAAAATGGGAAGAACAGAGTCAAACAGGCATTTTACAGTGAGATTAAAAACCTATTGCAGCAATGAAATTTAAGGGTGTTTATCTGGATATCGGCCTGTATTCACAAAGCATTTTATCTTACCACTAAGAGTACTCCTAAATCGACTGAAATTTTTTTTCCTAAAACCTATCCACAAAGTGGCTGAGAGCAACTTTCAGTTAGGAAAAGAGCCAACTCCTAAGCTAAGAGTAAGACTTAGTCACTATGGCTGACATCGGTTCTCATGCACGCGCTTGCCTGCAATAACCATGGGGATTGGTTAATGAGAGGCCAGTATGTGCTGGTGAAATCTATGCGCAACATCCCACAATCAGAAATACAGGAAACTGCTTATAGTGATCATATTCATAGTGATCAACCACTTACATCGATTAAAAAGCTTGGAACAAAATCATTTCTGTGTAAATGCTGTTTAAATAATTCACTTTTAGTAATCAAGTAGTTCACTTACAGTGTTCATTTTGGGTCTTTTTATACATGACAACAGATAGAAAAAATTTAAACAACATTATTTTTATTCTTTCTTTTTTTTATTTACTTTGATAGCCCTACTTTGCCTTGTAGTAACCTGTCTGCTTCTGGCTAGCTACCTGCTGTGTGGCCAGAAAACATAATGGGAAAAAGAAGTAATTTTCTCTCAATATCAAATATATCATCAACGTTTATGATAAACTGCCAAAAACAAGCCAATGAGATGCAGCAGTGAAATTACAATAAGCTGTATTTTATGTACGGTCCTGTAGTATATTATAGCATATCTGACTTATACACAGTTCAGTAATTTAATTTGTACAGTTCTATCATTTCAAAAGGGTTTGAAACAGCTGTAATGTTTTTTGAAAGAGTCAATAAAATTCAGTAAATAGGGATGCTGTCTATTTTATTACCTCAGATGCACGTAATTACATTTGTATATTTATTCGTCTGAGACATAAAGAAAATTGAAAAAAAGGTTATAATGATCATTTGCTTATAATGATGAATTTCACCCAGACAGACTTCATCACTATAAGCGGTTTCCACTGTATTTGACTGGGTTGTTTTGTCCGTTAGAGATGTCATTGCATTCCACACAAGATCCACAACAATCATTATTCCATCCCAATTGAGTGGGTATCTTTTAAGTAATTCAGCGTAGTTTAATGTTTCCATGACATTGCGACAAGGTTTGACAGCGGCCATTTTGCGACTGTATGTGAATTGGTCTTAGTGACTTAGGAGTCCTCTCAACTACTTTTTAGTACTCCTAGATGTAGGTGCTACTTTTAGCACTAAGGGGCTTTTTTAATTGCTCTTAGTGAAAAAAATGAGGGGTCCTACATTTAGGCATGACACGGCCATAATTTTTAAGAGTTACTCCTAAATCGGCAAGTCAGGAGCTACTTTTAGCTTTAAGATACTTTGTGAATATGGGCCCTTGTGTCCAGTTTTGCTCATTGTTAAAATCTGAAACACATATACCTTTTTCACTTATTTTGAAAACACACTACACAATCATTGATATATATATATATATGTGTGTGTGTGTGTGTGTGTGTATACACACATATATATGTATATGTAATTTGCATAACGTTCTGTTTCTACGAATCTGCAGTTTGTGTCTGCCTGTGAGCTTTTTTTCTCTTTTTCCTACAGAAAACAGGCATCATGGGCAGCAGAAGGCTCTACTATACTAAAGACAGTCTTTTGTCCATCTATACTGAGTATGAGAGTCTTGTCTTCCCCGCTGGGTCTTGTGAATCTGCTGAGAAAGAAAATGGTTGCATTTTCCTAGTGCCATCACTTCTACAGAAGTCCAATTAGAAAATGGCCTGAGGTTTTGTGGGTGGTAGCTGTAGCTGGGTGAGGGTTGCAGTGGGGGGGGGGGGTGCTTGTAGGGGGGAGGGGCTCCACAGAACCTTGAGACCACCAACATATTTGTCCATGTCACATGACTTAACCCAAGCAGAAAGAGAGGTCTGTGTGTCTCTCTGTGTTTTTTCTGCTGCGCTCTTCCTTTTTGTACTTTTACATAATAGTGACAGTAATGACTCCATGGCAAAACAGATATCCTTCCTGTTCAAGGACTGGATTAGCTGCTCAATGACAATCCTGGA